GGAGAGTCCGGGCGACCAAAACAGGACAGATTGAAGGAGCACACCGCCGATATCAAGCACGGACGCTGCGATACGTCAGCGACGGCCAGACACTTTTGTACCTGTGGCGGTGACTTGAACCCGTTCGAGGCGAGAACCCTAGCCATCGAACGCCACTGGAAAAAAACGTAAAATCAGGGAGGCCATCGAGATCCGACAGCTGCGCCCGTCAATGAATCTCGACAGCGGTGGCGTCCAGCTGAGCCCAATATGGGACATTGTGCTAAAAAAATAGTGGTTGGCACGCTGAACGAACACGCGAGGGGGGGGGGGTCACCTTGTGTAAGTGTGACTTACCTGTAACTGAAGTGACGCTCTTTTTATTAAATTAGCGCTGATTGTCTAAATATTTAATTAAAATTCCGTGATAGACAGTGATATTGTATAAGTTCTTAGGAAGGCGGTATCGTATAGGTTATTTTATCTGCACTGGAGGACCCAGCTCCACCGATTGCATGGGAATTGTGTTATTTTGTTGTGCTTAACAAAGCTCGCACTGTGCATCACTCGCATTGAAAAAGGTACCACTACGAGTATCGAAATATTTGCTATCAATTTTTCAATATATATCACTCAAGAAACTCCGAAAATATTATTTCATATATGTTAGAAAGTCGTCAAGTGTGGCTGCTAAGGGTTTTTTCGGGGTGCTGATCACGAATATCGTGTTAGTTTTGATCACAGATGATGTCTTTAAGCATTTAGACCAGGTCGGGTCAGGTCAGGTCAGGTCAACCAGTAGGCGTCGTGACGGGTATTCGTAGTACGTGTCAACCGCCTCTGACAGCTTCGTGACATGTTACGAAGTCACCAAAACTTCTTCGTAAATGTTCAAATGGTTGCTTAATTCGAATTCAGCTCCAAAAACTAGCCTAGAAACATGTAAAACACGAAAAAGTGAACCGAGGTCACCAAAGGTCAATGACCTGACCTGACCTTCGGGTGACCTTGACACCCACCCTAATGCATGGGAGCAACATCAAAGCACATGTTTGAACGTTTGAAACCACGAAAAGCTTGCAAACGCGCGGCTAATGCGAGCCGACATACGCCGAATCGCGATTCCGGCCAAACATGGTCTCGGAAAAGAGGTCACAGGTCAAAGGACAAAGGTCATTGGGGTCAGGGTCATGAAATTTTCAGGGTAGGTGTACAATTGATCAATGCGAGGGCACTGAAAGTGTAGTCGCGATCGGCCACTATTTACGCGAGTTATTCGCGAAAAACCATGGGGGTCCATCCCCCTACACATGCGAGGGATAGCTACGCCAGGTAACGGATGGCTTTGGAACTTTCAGCAATTCATGAGAGTAGCAATATACACAAAATGCATATCGCATTATTTCGATATCGGTAACCCTAGGTCACGTCAATTTTGCGACCCCCCCCCCCCCCCCCTATTGCCTATACAAACTGAAAATTGAAAGGCGTTTTTAACGAACGTTATTCTAAACACTCTCAGGTTACAAGTACACAGAAGCGTATAGGAACCATGGGTGCAGTGAGTGCAGCTGCAGTTGCACCCACAATAATTATCGAATAGGTGCCGACGGGTGTTCCCCCTCTCAGCGGGGCGTGGAAATCCAGGAGCCCCAGCGGGGCGCCGGTTAATAGCTGCTGGAAGTCAAGCCAATTTCCTACTACAAAACAGACGAAATCGATTTTAAGTAATTTCCATCTGTTAAAACAGACAACAAAACAGACCCCTAGGCAGTTTATAAGTAAAGTAATCTTGGTTTCGACCAACGCATTGCACTGGTTACAAGCAAAATAAAAAGAGCTGGCGTTTGCACAGCGCGTTCCAATTAAACAAAAATCAATGAAACTCGAAAAACTCAAGTCACGAAGCGATAAATTGAAAAATCGAAAAACCGACGCGAAAAAGCGATAAATCGAACCGAAAAAGCGAAAAACCGAAAAATCAAAAACCGAAAAAGTGTCCCGTGTAGCTTGACCTTAATTGTAGCACTAAAGCCTGTAGATCAGAAAACACATTCACTTGCACTTAACTTATATGCTGACGCCGACCACAATGTAGGAAAGATGTATTTTACTCAATAGCAAATAAGTTATGAAATTCCGGTTGAGGTATTACATTTCAAGCATTTCAAACTTTGTAAAGTATGTTGTTTTTACTTTTAAACTTCCCACACATATTTATTAATATTTATCACAATAATAACCGTGTATCTAAAAAGAAACACATGGAAAACCAGCCGTATTCATACATGTCTCCTTTCATTCATACACTGCATGCGTTCATTAATCAATTCATTCATGCACATACACCCCTGAGCACACCTCATATTTGGATAAGCACGTACTCGCGCACGTGATAACACGTGATAACATTAATTACAAAATAATTAGGTCTAGCGTCTTATTCGTTTCCACAGATGTGCACCTTAACTTTTTGATGAAGTTCTTGGAAGAGCAAAACTTGTTTACCACCAGCAAACTTTCATGATATTAACCTTTGAAGTAATGCAATTAAGCTATAATTGCTAGCATGCTAGCATTGCTAGCATGCTATCATTGCAATTAAGCTATTACTATAATCACGGAGCGAGCGAAGCGAGCGGAGTCTTTCCTTAGATTAACCCGGCAGGCGGTGGGCCTACCAGCCACCTTCCGCGCGGTGGGGGGGGGGCACTTTTTTGCCCCCTCCCCGTATCTCCGAAACTACTGGACGGATCCAAAAAATTCAAACGGCGTTCGATAGCCCTGTCAAATTTGTCGAGGGAAACCAAATTTCATTGACCTCGGGGTCACCGATGACGTCACAGGTCAGGTCAAAGATAAAATGTTTCACCGTTCACGGGGCTTCTAGGGAAAGCGCTATAACACCGAGTAAAACGCATTTTGTCGAAAATCAGCGATAAGGATCCAGTTGTCTAGTACATATGTTGCTATTAGAGGTCACTGGTCATACCAGGTCAGGTCACAGGTCAGGTCACCAAAGGTCACCAAGGGTCACCACATGAGCCCAACTTTACTAAGGTTATGCGATGCATGTTTTATGGCCAGTTTTTCATTTCCAACTCAATGGTGTTGGTTATAACACCATCAGGTACGATTTAGGTCACTTTCTGGTGGAGGTCAGGTCAAGGTCAGGTCAAAAAAGGTCAAATTTCAAAGTTGATATTTTTGCATAAAATGGGTATCGATTCGATGCAGCTCGTCACGGGGAGTCTAATGGTGGTCTTTGTTTTGCGCTACGAGGTCTAGAATTGCTAAAAATTGAGTTTGAAAATTTGACGTCATCAATTTTGAACAGTTTTTTTGCTATAACTTGGCCAAAAAAAGAGGTATCGATCTCAAATTTGGTATGTAGATAGAAGGCGGTAAAAGCTATCACATATATTCCGGTTTTTTCGAAATTCAAAAAACTTTTTTGATTTTTTTGGCTATTATATTCAAAAAATCTATTTTTTGATTTTTGGGGGTCAAAATCCAAAAACTTCGAAAAACCGAAATAGCAGTTTTGTAGCCCTTTTCATTCCACACCTTTTATGTCTGAAACATTTTTCTGTATCTCTAAAGCTGTAGGCCTGACAGCTCTTCCCGCGAAACCTTTTTTTTGGGTCGAAAATGGCAAAAATGACGTCACTCTGACGTCATTAGCGGCCAACCTATCATAGCCTTTGGAAAAATTTTTGGTCACCATGTGCGCTAGCTGCTCCCGGGAGGGTACTGAAAGTTTGGTGACGATCGGCGCAGCGGCTCTCGAGATATATCGAAAAAACTAAAGGGGGGGCAAAAAATTGCCCCCCCCCCACCGCCTGGAAGGTTAAGGAAATTTCTGAGTATGAGCGGCCGGCCGGCTGGCCGTGCGGACGCTTTTGCGAGGCTTATATCTCAACAACCACTTGACTGATTTACATGCGGTAATTTTTGTAGGGTAGCTTAATTCCTTCTACCAAGTATTGGACTATTCCCGATGCATGTGGGTGACCCCTTATGCGCGTGCCACGTGCAAAACGAAGAGGTATCAGTTTTGCAATTGTTGCAATATCTCGGTAACTACTTGGCCGATTGCGCTGAAAGTTGGCATGTAGGTAGGCACCCACTAGGCACTGCATAATGCATATCCATGTGCCAGAGTCGGGGTGCTGCTGCACGTGCGCACGTGCAGGGGTCGTTTCCAGATCTCGAGAACGGCTGGACCGATTGCGCTCAAATTTGTTACACAGTTAGGGACCGGTTAGTAGGGTGCCGTGCAACAGTCAGTCGACCCATTTTGCACGTGCTCACGTGCAGGGTGCCGCTTCCAGATCTCGAGAACGGCTGGGCCGATTGTGCTCAAATTTGGCATATCGCTAAAGACCGGTTAGTAGGGTGTCGTGCACAAGTCAGTTGGTGCAAGGCACACCCTCTCGCTCGCTCCGTTAGTCGCCCCAAAAGGCGTTATACTGGTATATAGTAATGCAATTATAACTCATGAATATAGCATTGTTATTTAGAACACTAAAAAATGGTTTGATATTGTAGTTCATGGTAATATACGTGAAAAACGTAGCAATTGTTAAAAGCGCTATAAAGTGGCCAGTTCTGTCAAGTAGCATCTCGAAGTACCAAGTAGTGTCCAGTAGCATCCAATAGTGTCCAGTAGTGTTAAATACTGTCAGTGGTGTCCAGTAGGTAGTTGAAACAATAGTGCACAATAGTGTAAAATAATGTCCAGAATTATCAAGTAGTGTCCGGTAATGCCCAGTGACTTCCTGTCTATTGTTCAGAAGTGCCAAGTAGTGTCCAGTAGTGCCCAATAGCATCAAATGGCATCCAGTAGCGTCCAGCAGTGTTGCGGTAGTGCAGAGCAGTGTCAACTAATGTCCAGAAGTATCACGTAGTGCCCAGTAACGTCCAGTAACTTCCAAAAGTGTCCAAAAGTGTCCAGTACAATCCAGTAGTGTCCAGTAGTGTCCAGTAGTGTCTAGCAGTGTCCCGTGGTATCCACTCACCGGCGCGCTGTGGCCCGTATCGATGGCAAACATGGAGTACAGGCTGATAACCTGCAGCGGCAGCCAGCAGAGCACAAACACCACCATCACCAGCACCACCATCTTCACCACCTGGGGAGACGGCGGGAAGTGTCACCACTCACCACACACACTAACTACACAAACACCACCATCACCAGCACCACCATCTTCACCACCTGGGGACAGTGGGGTGTGTCACCACTCACCACACACACTAACTACACAAACACTACAATCACCAGCACCACCATCTTCACCACCTGGGGAGACAGCGGGGTGTGTCACCACTCACCACACACACTAACTACACAAACACCAACCTAATCAACACCACCACCCTCACCAGCTGGGTGTAAAGCACGGTGTAAAATACTATTATAGCATTACAAAATACGGTGACCAGCATTAATCCCTATCTGGGGTGTAACCAAGTATCACCAGCTGGATTTTAACCAAGTATCACCACCTGGCGTTTAAGCAAGTATCACCAACTGGGGTGTAATAAAGTGTGACAGGTATGTGTATGCATGTGGTGTTGCATGTGTTGCTGCATGATGCCCGCGTGCTGAGTGCTGGCTCCTTATCCCCGCAGGTGCTTTATGTCTGGGCCGAATACACGTTATGACCTAATCATCACAAAGGTGTATGATTAATTCACCCTACTAACCATACACCTTACACATGTATGGTTAGTTCACCTTTTTGCGTTGTTCGATGGCCAATTGGCAAAACCCATTCGTCCGATCTGCATATAGGTGGCGCCAGTGAGAGGCATTCCGGCAAAACCTTCAGCATATGGGCGAAATGAATCGCTGATCCCACTTCACAGTTCGTCAGTTAGTATAACATTCGCTATTCGCCATAACTGATTGAATTCCGGCAAAACCTTTGACGATTTGGCCAGAGATTTCAGATTTGACAGATACTGCACGGCTACAAGGGGATATTAGGAGACTTTATAATTGGTCGAAAACTTGGAAATTGAAATTGAATCCCTCCAAGTGCAAGCAGTTCTGTATTACCTTAAAAAGTGACCCCCTTACTTGTCAATACATGATTGGTGACACTCGCCTGGAAATCGTGCACACAATTAGGGACTTGGGGGTGGTTTTAGACAGACGACTCACGTTTTGTAATCATGTTGACTTTATTGTGTCTAGGGCAAACAAAATGAACGGCATTCTTATGAGGGCGATGCAGTCTGAATCAAAAATTGGCATAGTAAACTGGAAGTCAATTTTGACCGCCTTCTATGGAAATGTTCGTGCGATATTAGAATATTGTTGTGTCATATGGGGTGGTGCGGCAAAATCGCACTTAGATAGAGTAGAAAAGATACAGTATCACTTTCTCAGATGGCTATACTTTTATGTAAATCGAAGCGCGATACCATCCGATATTGATTATTCTCGTTTGCTCCAAATGTTTAACGTAACTGAATTAGAGAAAAGACGCCATCAATACGATATCATGTTTGTGGAAAAACTGTACAAAGGTGTCCTCGACTCACATGTACTATTGGCACGGTTTCCGCTGTATGCTGCTCCAAGAATTACAAGGAGGATTGAAGGAGCTCGTGGTGTCATGAATGTACCATTTGCGCGGGTCGACACTATGAAAGGTTCGCTTTTTGTTAGGGCACCCACTATCATAAATGAATTTATGTTCGAGATAACAGATTTGGATTTGTTTCACGACTCAATGCGGGATGTTCGGGCTAAAGTAAGACGACATATACAAAACATGTGAGTCCTGGTGTGAACCGCGTGACTGTATTTATTGTGTTATGCATGTACTGTATGGACTGTGTGATAGATATGGTTGGTATATCGAGGGATTGTATGTGTAAGAGACGAAAGACTAAAGGCAATGTTTACACTGCTCCGAACGTATAACTGCTATGGACTGTTACTGGGCGTCAATTCGCCTGTTGTTCCATGACATCGAATAAATAAATGCTTCGTCATTCGTTTAAATCCCTTTGTCATTCACCAAAACACCCCCATGCTAATTTCGGCATTCCTCATAACATTTCGTCAAAGCTAAAAACAGATCACCCCTTTACTGAGAAGTATAAATATGACCGCGCTTATACAAGGCAGTGTGAGGCATAGGTGGCGAAACTCGTAGGTGATTTATCCACATATAACATCGGTAGGTGATCATGAGCGACATAGGTACATACAATGTACATGGACGCAGCTGACATGTTATCGGCTGATTGAACAGTGAACAGGCAACAAAGCGTTTGATAAGTCAACCCCGCCTCGAACTCCAAGGTGTTGGGCGGTGGGCCGGCCGGGCCCGGCTCGCCATCTGTCAGCCGTACCCTCGCGAGTCCGACCGGCGCGGCCGCCCGAGGCGTTGTCCCATGACATCGCTCGGGCAGTGACGCGATAATGACGGCCGGCTTTGTAGTTTGCACCGAAGTGCTAAGGAGTCTAACGCTCGACCGTCTACATGCCTACTCGATATTGCGCCGGTAGTCTCCTCGTAGTCATCGTATACTGCCTTTTTCGGAATCCAATGGTTGATTAAAAGTTAATTGGTCAGAGGTGAATTAATGCAAATTGCGCTGGAGCCTGTCGCAAGCCTCATCTATGAATGTGTGATAAAGGTTAAACATTTAATATGGCTATATAAGCAGTACATCATTGACATTTTGATCACCGACGAAAGTTTTAAATCAACAGTCATTGCTTACGCACAGTACCGATGGATTTTGCACATCGAGTAACCATTTTGTGAAATGTCGAAGCATTATCGCAATCTGACAAAGTGTTTTGCCTATGACGAATATTATGCTCAGTGCTGCCGTCCAAAGGCAAAAACGCATATGTCGGGTCATGACCTGACCCGACATATGCGTTTTTGCCTTTGGACGGCAGAGTGACAAAGAGTTATGCAGAATGGTTAAATGGAGTCCAGCCTGTTTTGCCGACCGTCAAACAGTGATGCACGTCGCCGATGGGTTATGCTGAATGCCGCTTGTTCAAACTGATGCCGAAACGGTTATGACGATTAGCCATCGAACAACGCAAAAAGGTGTACTAACCATACATCTTACTGGCGTAGTTACACCCTGTCCACATGGGACAGGGTGTAAAACTACACCAGCTTTCGACTAGCTACATTCACTAGCGTAAAGATCACAATATTTGGGAGAGAGGTGCAGTGTCTATTAAAGGGACTATCCCACCTTTAACATGGGGTTTGAGTTGAGATAGCCAAGTTTGCGGCGAGGTTCAGAAACCACTATCTATCTAGGTTGCAACCCCCGCGGCCTCTTGGTGTTGAAGAAATTCGTTCCCTTCATTTGAAAATGGGCTTTGTGCAAGGCCTTATCTTCAACATGGAGCGACCGTTAGTGTGACGTCACCTTGTTTAGTCGTTCTGATTTAAATGGGTTTGTTCGTTGAAAAATCGCTTAAAACTTGGTCTGAACTTTGTTGTGGTGCCTACAGAGTAAAAAGAATCAGCTTTATGACAGTAATGTGGCCTGGGGAAGGAGGTAATTTTGGGCTGTGACGTCACATATTTGAAAGTTTGTGTTTGAAATATGGGAAGCCTAAGATGTTTAATGAAAAATAAATGCCAGAACCGTGTTCCTGGTCATCCAATCTATAAAGTCGGGCACAATTTAACTGGTTTTAACAACATTTTAGAAGGTGGGATAGTCCCTTTAACATTTCCTATAAGTTTACAGATGACCCGACCATATCGCAAATTAAAAGATAAGCAAGTAATAGCCTTTGGCTCATTGTATAATAGACAAAAGAAATGGAAAAGAATATATGTGCGATATTTCGTGTCCGACACTTTTTCATTTCAGTGCATGAAAAAGTGTCGGACACGAAATATCGCACATATATTCTTTTCCATTTCTTTTGTCTATTATACAATGAGCCAAAGGCTATTACTTGCTTATCTTTTGATAATAATGGGGCTCATTTTCAAAGAAACCCTCAACATCATATCGCAAATTACAAAGGAATTTGTTAACCCTCGCATGTGTAGGGGGGGGGGTCGGATGGACCCCCCCCCCTGGTTTTTCGCGAATAACTCGCGTAAAAAGCGGCCGATCGCGACGAAACTTTCAGTACCCTCGCATTGATCAATTTTACACCTACCCTGAAAATTTCATGACCCTGACCCAAATGACCTTTGACCTGTGACCTCTTTTCCGAGACCATGTTTGGCCGGAATCGCGATTTCGCGTACGTCGGCTCGCACTAGCCGCGTGTTTGCAAGCTTTTCGTGGTTTCAAACGTTCAAACATGTGATTTGATGTTACTCCCGTGTGTGTCAAGGTCACCTGAAGGTCAGGTCAGGTCATTGACCTTTGGTGACCTCGGGTGACCTCGGGTCACTTTTTCGAGTTTTACATGTGTCTAGGCTAGTTTTTGGAGCTGAATTCGAATTTAGCAACCATTTGAACATTTACGAAGTAGTTTTGGTGACTTCGTAACATGTTACGAAGCTGTCAGAGGCGGTTGACACGTACTACGAATACCCGTCACGACGCCTACTGGTTGACCTGACCTGACCTGACCCGACCTGGTCTAAATGCTTCAAGACATCATCTGTGATCAAAACTAACACGATATTCGTGATCAGCACCCCGAAAAACCCCTTAGCAGCCACACTTTACGACTTTCTAAAAGGTCCCGATTTTCCCGACTTTGGGTCATTGACCTGACCTGGAAGGTCAACCAATGACCTAGGACCTTAAAATTGGGTATCATCGGCTTCCTCTTGTCACGGGCAACACGCTCGTTTTTTCCGCGAAGCTCTAGCTCGATCAGGGGCCAAACGGCAAGGGGGGGGGTCCAACCGACCCCCCCCCCCCTACACATTAGAAGCTGACAAACGCCGCACACATGCGAGGGTTAAGCATGCCCTTCGTGCCTTTCGTGCCTTTGTATTTTAGACAACGAGGAAGCAAACGATAATAAAGGACGAATAGTGATAACCTCATACGAAGGGCCTATCTGCTGCGTTCAGTTTTGTACTTTACGATCTCTTGGATCCTAAGAATGCCAGGAAACTACCAAAAGGAAGCCGCAGAGATCTCGTACGAAAATTGGCCTGATGCTGAGAGGTTAGAGCTGTGTGCGTCTTCACATCCAATTTCCTTTGATAAATTATAGAGCGGGCATCCGCGCACAAGTTTTCCGCACAGACCACAGTCTCTCCTTGCGTGCTCTTTGAGGTCAACACGGATCGTACTATTTTGATTCATTATTTAAGTTGAGGATGGCGGGATACCACGAGTTGTATATTTTTTATCCAAATAGGAGGGTTTTATGTGGGTAAATGACATCAGTAAGTACTAGCTTAATACAAAAGCAAAACTATCTAGACAAGTCATAAAAGGAAAAGGAATGTGGCAACATGTTAACCCTTAGTTCTGTGGAAGCATCCCAACAAATCACCTACCGACACAAGCGAGAACATAATCAAACATACATTTCTTAATGCTTACACACACATAGTGCACTCTTTATATCCCGAAGAAGTCCCTTCAGGCAGTGCAGACTCACCCTCTTTTTTGATCCATTGCTCTGGTGTATCTGAGACTCCATTCCTTGACTGGGAAAGGGCGACAGCCACAAACGCCAGACAATCAGCGTGTAGGCGCCGCCCATGACTGCAATCGGAGCGAAGAACAGAGCCACGGCCACCTGCGCCAGCGAGAGAGGGAGAGAGCGAGGGAGTTAGAGGAGACACGTAAAAGGCATAGAAGTTGGGGACAGAGTGGGATAAAGAGATAGAGAGAGGAACAGCGAGAGAGTTAGATGCGTAATATAAAACATTAAGATGTCGGAGGGAGAGAGGGAGAGGGGGAGGAGGAGGAGGCTAGACAGAAAGAGGCATACAGTTATAGTCACAGCTTGATGTGAAACGACACGAGCAAAACCTTCTGTCCCTGCTTACGCCTAGATTCTTCAAAATCCAACTCAATCGAGAGTTTTGTTTCAAAAACTCACTATGTTTTATTACAAATAGCTACCAAAGTAAGCTTATCTGACAAATGACAATATCATGGGCTTAACGCTGCATGTTATCCTCCATCGATTTCAATAAATGTCAGAATATGTGCGTACCAGCGTCCTCAGAGCCATAAAGACAGACAAATGATAAAATAAGGCTGGATATGCCCTTTCTATTCGGCTTGAATCATTTTCGAGAAGTTATCCACTCTGAATGGCTCTTGAGAAGAATAAGATGTGCTCTGGCATACGCGATACACGTTGTATGGGCCAAATCAATTAGTGAGATTGAGGGTAACGAATCTCGCATCGAAACCAATCAGAGAAGTTTCAATGGCCATTTCAGTCGCTTCGATCACAGTTGAAACTGGCAGTGGATGCTATAGGCGATTGGCTGGTAGTTGGTGCAGTATCACCACACACAAAACCAAATCAAGCATGATGTCAAGATCCTAAATAGAGAATGCTCATAAATGTTCTTTAAAAAGATAGGGGGCTTATGCAAAACAGTATGTGAAGCTAACATGAGGATGATTTGAAGACGACGTGCTGGCGCGAAGATAGTACGGGGACCCGCAGTTGCTACTGTACAGCGACCCTGAGTAAATTGTCCCAGCGCCCTCACAGGGAACAACGATAAGCTGTCAGAGGGCACGCACAGAAAACCTCAGCTGCTCTTGTACAGGGACCGGCAGTCGATATCAATGTTATCGGTTGTAACTGGACAGGACAGACGGCTAGAGGTGGGGCTCGTGTATGTACAGTAGCAACTGCGCCCCCCCCCCCGTACTTCACTAGCTTCGGGAAAATGAATTATTCAAAATTTATATTGGCGTTGAAGTTGAGGCTAGAGTACGTAGAGGCTTACATGTAACCAAACCCATCAACCACGGCAACTACCACAAATTTAAATTGAATAATCCCTAACACCACGGCAATGGGCTGATTCGCCAAGGCTTATACAGTCTAAAACTTTAAAATTAAGCATGGAGCACAGCGTCAGCAAAGCGTACCGTAAAAATACGGGAACTTATCACTCACTCTGTGAAAGCCGAGCACGATACATCACGACGCAGTCTAATTTGCCGTCCGGCGGCACTTGTTATTTGAGTCAGCCGGTCGCTGCGCGGTGCTCGCAGCAATTAAACCCGGGCCGAGGGTGGCATTGGACGCTGTGTGGCCATATGAAATATATAAACTCCCAGAACTTGGTCAAGCACAAGTTTTGTGGTAGTTGTAGTCACCTAATCGGAGGCTAGTTGCTAGAATAAAAACATTGCATATATCTTGTTCATGTTCCGAGGCGGGAACGGTTGGCAGCCTGCGGAAACCACGCTCAATAACGATGCACGATTTTATTCGTTTCAATAGCCAGCTTAGTAAATTAAATTTAGCTTTGGTCATTGAACAGAGGTATTCCACAAGCATTTTTCTGGCTATTTATATCATCACAAGCCTATTGAATGATCGAAAGAGATGCTTGATTACTTTGCTCAAGTACAGGGTGTCCGGAAATTGATTAGCCCTTGTATTTAATCATTTATCTGTCAAACAAATCAAGTGAAGCGCATCGTTTATTTGCCAATGCATCCTCCGCCAAGTCGGACACACTCCCTCATGCGCTCTGGCATCCCGCACATCAGGTTGTTCAGCGTCTCAGCGCTGATGCTAGACCACGCCTTCTGCAGGTTTCTCACCAGCGCCGTTTCGTTGGTGGCCGGCCCCATCTTATCCAGCTCGTCCTGCACGATCGCCCACAGATTTTCAATGGGCGACAGATCAGGGCTGTTGCCCGGCCAGACACCCTTCTTCCAGAACCCCGGGAGGTTGCCCCGGCACCACTCCTGAGTCATGGCAGCGTTGTGAGCTGGTGCGCCGTCCTGCTGAAAAATTGCCTCTGACATCCTTGGCAGAAGTTTGACGCTGGTTGGTGGCCCGTTCTGCGTCGTCCACTCCATCGCCGATGATGCCGTCTGTTTCAGCACTTCTTCAACATGATATTCCGCCGTCACGGTCTGGCCTCGCGGTATGATATGCAGCTCGGAGAGCCCTCGATAGCTCATCATGGCCCAGACCATCACTTTTCGGGGATGCTTCACCGTCTCCGTGGCGGGCACTTCTTTTGCTGGTGTGCGCCCACACACGGTCGTTTTGGCGGTTCGGCGGATGGCACAGCTCGAATGGCGACTCGTCGCTGAAGAAAACGCGTCGCCACTCTTCGATTGTCCAGCTAATGCGCTCCCGCGCGAACGCCAGCCACTTGAGCTTTTGAGCTTCTGTCAACTTCGGCTGACGACGAGGCTTGAGCGGCTTCAGGTGGAGGCACTTCGTCAAATAACTATGGACGGTTGTCTTAGACGCCGGATGTCCTTTGGCTGTCAGTTTCTTGGCCAACTTCCTTGTCGATTGGCGTCTTTTGAGGGCAGCTTTGGCGAGAACAATTTTCGCCACGCAAGTCAGGACGGTCTTTCGTCCTCGACCGGTCCGGTTTCGGAGGGACTGTCCTTGGCGGTCTCGAGCCATCCAGATTTTCATGGTGCTGACGGACACACCGAGTGTCTGTGCAACACTTGCCTGCGTCATGCCGCCGCGCACCATGCCAACTGCACGGTGGCGCGTAGCCAAAGAGTACTCCTTCACCATCTCAGATACCGACTCCGCGCGCTGGCACTACCTTTCGGAAACTGACCTCTGACCCCTCACCGCGGCCGTGACCAGGCCACCTGACCCGGTCACGTGGTCGGCAAACAGCTGAGCGTGCCCTAAGGCCGTGTCCTACTTCGATCGCGCTGGTTCCGTTGGCGCACAGGGGAGCAATGACCAAATATCCAAGGGCTAATCAATTTCCGGACACCCTGTAGATACGCTAATGATTCAAACGTCATCTTTCGTAGCAGCACGCGGTACTGGGCTCAGAGGCACAGCTTACCTGTCAGGCGCCCACTTCTGCTGGCATGTAATGGCGCGAATCACAAACAAGCCTTGCGGTGCAGCATACCGGTCAGGCGTCTACTTCTCCTGCCATCTAGTGGCGATATTCAGCAACTAGCCTTGCGGCGCAGCATACCCATCAGGCGTCTACTCTGCTGCCATCTAGTGGCGCGAATCAACAACAAGCCTTGTGGCACAGCATACCCATCAGGCGCGTATTACTAGCGCCATCTAGTGGCAGGAATAGGAAAGTGCCAAGCCTTGCGGCGCAGCATACCTATCGGGCGTCTACGTCTAATGCCATCTAGTGACGAGAATGAGCAGTAAGACTTGCGGCGCAGCATACTCGTCAGGCGTCTACTTCTGCTGCCATCTAGTGGCAAGAATTGCCAACAAGTCTTGCGGCGCAGCATACCCATCAGGCGTTCATTGCTTACTTATTCCGGCGGCGCGATTGCGCACTTTGCCCCAATGCATTGCGTAACTACGCTTGAATGTAGGAGCATTTTCTGATCATAGCGTACCGGGACGGCTGGGACCACTTCTGCGCCTGCCATCTATCGGGCAGTGTTTGGAACTACAGCGGGACCCGGCCGGCCGGGCCGCGCGGCGCCGTTACGGGGCTATGGAGGCGAATGAAGTGGTGTAAAACCAGACGAATTGTACGCTTGTGAAGCAAAAAACGAAAAATGTACACTCACCACGGTGTTCAGGAAGGTACTGGGAACAATATGGATATAATTTAAAGCTAGTACGATGCGAACTGTTGGTTCCCTAGAGCAGTATTTACATGCTTGTAGGAGATAGGACTTTAACATTACTGGAGCTTCTAAACTGCGCTCGCAAAGTACTTGATTGTAAATATTTCCATTTAGAGACAAAAATCTAAAAATGTACAGTCAGAGCGTTGTTCCCAATGCTTCTAGGTACACAATGAGCATAAATTTAGCTTGAAGTGTCATCACACATTGGTTCCCAGTCCAGTTTAAAACGACACTTTGTGCCGCAGAGCCTATCTCTTCCAATAGATGACGGCTGGGTGGCGGTTGTAGTTGCGGACAAGACAATTATTGAGTGAAATGAAATCATTTGCTTTCAAAGAAGAATTTTGAAGAACTTGTAATAATTGACAAATAATCGTTAATTACAGTGTATAATTTCAAGTACATGGCAAATGAAAAGATTTTAAACAATGCTTGTGAACCCCAGTACCGCCGCGCGAGTAAGCAAGTACTCGACGCACGGTCTGCCCGCCACTTCTGAAAATGGTCCGCGGCCGGCCGGCCGCGACCCGACACGGACCTTTTTAGCGGGAAAGAGCCTGGAACGATTTAACCTGACGTCTTTCTCACAGTACCTGCGACGAAACCCAACAACCAAACTACGTGGACCTGACAACTTCATTGAAGTGATCATGAATTATTCGCGGATTATGAATGAATATTCAAGAGCATGGAGCAGCTTTGTTTGAAGAGGAAATATTAGCGGATGGCTGGAGACCAAAATGAACGGATGTTTGTCATCGGATCGATCCGTAGGCTAGTGTCCAAAATATCGCTACCATGCAGGCTTTGTGCAATGTGCATTGTGCATGCTTTGTGAAAGTTTGCCGGATACGTGGAAAGTCTGCTGTAGTGAAATGAAAAGAAGCTGCGCAATGTGCTTAAAACACCGTAGTATTTTCTTGTGCCAATCATTCAGCCAAAAATACTTTCCCGGACAGAAGACTGAAGAACCTCCACTAATGCATTAATGTCATTCCGTTTTATGCATGCGGTTGGCTGTGACATTTACATCCTTTTCAGTTATATGTTCGCTGATATAAAATTCAAAACCACCGTGCAACATATGCTGTGCAGAATTCTACACCAGACCAAAAGATTTTCATCAAGTGGGTTACATTAAATAGCACGTTTAATGCACGCGTGCGTGTTACAGACCACAAATTACAAGCCTCGTTTTGCGCCGCGCGTGGCGTCTACTCGACATCAAAGACAAAAGTTCTGCCAGAAAGCGTTCGTGTTGAATACGCAATTATGCAGCTGTCTGCGAATATAAAGTGCGTCATCTAGCCTCCAGTGGGGTGGCTGAACCACGCACGCTGCCGAAAAGTGGTTCTAGAGCGCTCCGTCGTAGAAATGGCCCTCGCTACCGGATCACCCATTTGTATGCGTTACGGATACTGTAAAAGATATGGCATGGTAAATATAGCCGGTACGGATATGGGTGTGCTCGTGGTAGATATAGGGACATGCTAGTTGATGATGATATCATTGGTAGTAGTGATTATAACTGTTTATTAACAACTAAGCCTTGCTGTGTTATGAAACAGCTCAGTTTACTCAAGCAATAGTACGAAGTGTGGTCAAGTTACTTTTCTCCCTTTGATCGAATTACATCTTCTCGATTCTCAACTCAAGCAACATTGATGCAAATGGATGTTGGATGCCCACATGTGACATGTGACACATGTGACAGCGGTCACAGACGAGATCACAATAACAAACACGCCAGAAATGTCAACCGTGCACTCTACCTTGAAGTGGACATTTTATGTGATCATAAAACCGGCCATCACGGCTGATTGAAACTATCAAAGCTGTCGGGGGTGTAAGCTTCAGCTGACCGCTTATCTGCCCACCGGCAGATAAGTAGCCAGCTTCCGAGGAATCTCATTCAGTGCTCAGCGCCTGGAGTTGTTATGCAAAGTTGCGTTTGAGAAAAATATCTCCAGACATACGTGCAGAGAAAAATAATCGTTTTTATCTCAACATCACTTACCTGCAAACAAAATTAATCATTTTTGCAATAAGAGTTACAGGAAGTGTACTGAAAGGTGAACTTCAAAGCCAGGTATCATGCTATCTTTAATAAAAAAAAACGTCACATTCAGGGCGTGTTTACTTACCAGGGTCTGATACATGTGTTTGTATTTCTGGGTCAGCAGACATCCGCCAGCCTCTTCGCTATATTCATACGTGGTGGGCCAATTGTCCTGGCAAGAATATTCAATCGCGTTCTTCCACTGAAAAGAAAAAAGAAAAACATGAAAGGGGCTTGTATTTGCCCTAAAATAAAATGCATTGCTAACGTTTTTGTAAGCTGGTTCCAATGGCACTTAGCTAATTATGCACACACTTCGTCTCACCGTGTGGTAGTTTTTTCGACAAAAGCGAGAATAGCTTGAAGGCTATGTCATCAGTTGATCGAAATCATAGCACAGAGATGCGCCATGATCCACGCTTTTGATTAGGTCTGTCAGTAAAGAAATGAACAGTCAAGGCAGCCAGCCAAAACAAACAGCAGCCAAAAAGGGAATTTTGTGGGGGCGGGGGCAAAAAGAAAGTCTTTTCTAATTGCTGATGCGAAAAAATATCAAAACGCACTTCTACTAGCCGTGCCAAAGCAAATAATCTAAAAAAGACAGGTAGGTATATACTTCAGCAACATCCTTGACTTAATGGTTTGATAAATTCCAGATAAGTGTCTAAGTGACATATGTTACTTATTCTAGATATAGGTTAGATTATAATTACGATAGGGTATCTATAAGATAGAATGGATCAACAAAAATTTCGTTCAGTGGCCCTGATCGATCGAAAGCCAGACGGCTGAAATGAAATGGGTAAAATGAAGCTCGATTAACTTCTCCCCCAGTTATAAATCATTTGCCTTCTTGTGCCGCTTCTATTCACATCTAGCACGCGGGTTACCCTAGTTCACATCTATATTTCCTCCTGGCAATCCTCGGTACGATTGAAAAGTTCCCCGATTCTTCGGTTTTTAACAAAACAGCCGCAATTTCCACCGGAGCTTTGATGCATTATTTGGGGAGCTGCCTGTATCGACGTAATATTATCCTGGGGGGCTGTTGACATTTAATGTTTGAGTTATCGAAAAGTTATGCTTTCCAAGCATGTTTGCTCTATAGCTATTGGTATAAATTTAGCTGGAAAGCAATGATTATTTTGTGTCAGTTGAACTGAAGCAGCATACGCAAGTAAGCAAACGTGTAATTTTATGGCAGCACAGCACAGTAACCACGGCAAAGACGGGCCCGCTTAGGAAGTGAGGAATGCTCTTAGCGACAGGTGAAAAAAGTGAGGATGAGTTCAAGTAGATAATTCACTACAGCAATGAGGTACCGGCTGCTGACTTTCATTTAATATTATCATCAAAGATAGTATTCTGGTATCAATACCTACTTTTATTAAGTCTGCTGTGTTCACGTCTTCAATTGGTACAGGGCAATGGCTTCTCGCGAATTCAAGCATGGCCGGCAAGTAAACGATACAATTCACTAATTCAAACGAATGAGAAGAGTCGATTGCTACGCCTGTTAAAATCACATTGACAAAGTTCAGTGCAAATAAAACCCGTAGTTTATTCTTTACGCACCGTAGACCAGAATTCAAAATGAGCCCATCGTTTGTCCATTGCTGCCAATGGCGGGGACTAGCCTGATCATGGGTGCCTTCTGACGTGTAGAGCATCGCGCTACTTTGTGTGGATTTCCGAATTAATGATATAATAAACTCTTAAATGAAATTTGGTTTTGAATTATTTATCAGAAAATAAACAAAGGCAACTAGCGAAGCTGACATTTTGTCAATGCAAGAAACAAGTGTTGCTGCAGAATTGTTGAAACGTCTCACTAATTGCACTTATCAATCAGCAGATTGATATTTGTTATTTTGATAATAACTTGTGTTTACAACTAACCAGCCGCCAACCCACAAGCACACAATTCTCCTTAAGCTCCTCTTAGCAACTGATTTTCACCTGGTTTCAATGACTACCGCCGGAGACTTTATTGGATTAGCCATTGTCAGGGAAATTAGATAAGGCTCAGGGCTGCTGAAGCTTTTGCACAGCAACAACTTTGTTAAACCGCACCGGAAATTAAAGCGTCGGCATCCGACTCATCAACTGGCTACGTCACTGAATCTCCTCCGTTACTGGTCCGACACAGTGGCAGCTCGGCAAAAGCGATTAGAACTGCTGAATGAGGGAGGGGAGTCCCTCCCTTGGCAACATGCCCGCGACAACAGGTGTTTGAAGAGGCTAGTTTGAAAAGTGAAATTGCAGACGTTGGCTTGTCAGCTACATAAGTTGTTTCAACTGCTGTTGAAATTAAGTTTGTATCATTTTGGGCTGATCAAAAAGGTAAATTCTGGTAAGCAGGATTGATAGAAATGAGCGTCTAGTTCTTGCGCTCTTCTTATGCTTTGAAATTCTATAAAGCTAGTTCTGGCTCGGACAGTGCTGTTCTCAGTGGTCTGTCTGAACGAAAGCAGAAATGGCCTTTTAAAATGATGCTCTGTCCAAGGCAGGCTTTTACTGCAGTCACAAAATTATCTAGCTTTAGTGTCACCACACGATTCGTTCTGGAGAAAAGTCGCTTGTGTAATATGCTAGAGCTTCAATCATTATTGTGCGGTGCGTACGGTATTAGATTAAAATATGCCTGTGATTGAAGATTGAGGATACCCTACTTATTTTTATCAAAAATGAAACGCGAAGGTTTGTGTTTGAATCCAGAAACAAAAGCAAAGGGTATATAATATTGAACCGTATGCTTCCTTGTCTATTTCTGTAGCAAAAAAAAAGTGAAAACCGCTGCGGCCTAGGAGTAATAAGAGCATTATGAACACGTATGTAGTTAAAAGCAAAGACAACAACTGATAGGTTGAAGAGTCATAAATCGAATTCGTTTAAGCTGATTGAAACCCACTTTACATCTATATCATCCAGTGACATTCCGTGTCTTCTCCACAGTTTGCCAGTCATTTCGCCAGCCTCCCCAGCTCCTGCCCCCCCCCCCCCCCGTTCGATATCGTTATAGATTGGCTGTGGCTTCGGTCTAGGGTAGTCTATTTTACGGCATATGGCCCACTAAGTGGGCCCAAGTAAACTTGGCAAAGGACCAAGCTGGAGGCAAGGCTGGAGTTAAAGTTTGCAGAGCATTAGATACTAGGTCGTTCAAAAAGTTCTCGGCCTAGACCAGATACACTTTCGGGACAAACTTTATTTCACCTCAGCCTTCAACATAGTTCCCTTTGCGTGCCTCAGCCAGAGCCCAGCGGTCCTGCAGCATACAGATGCTCTTTCTGAAGAACTCTTCCCCAAGTCCTTCAAACCAATGCATCACCGACGTCTTCAGCTCTTCATCGTCGTGAAAACGCTGTCCACGAAGGTGTTTCTTCAGGGCTGGGAACAACCAGAAGTCGCTTGGGGCGAGATCTGGGCTGTAGGGTGGGTGATTCAGCTGGTGGAAGCCGCATTCTTGCACAGCATCCTGAGCAACGTGAGACCTGTGCACCGGAGCGTTATCGTGCAGCAGCAGAACGCCCCGACTCAGCTTCCCTCGACGCTTCTGCTTCACTGCAGCGCGCAGCTTCTTCAAGAGCTTGGCATAATAAGCACCTGTGATGGTCTGCTTGTGTGCGAGAAAGTCAACCAGCAGCACACCATGGACATCCCAGAACACGGTGAGCATGATCTTGCCGGCAGAAGACTTCGCTCGTTGCCGACATGGCCTTGGAGACCCTGGGTGACGCCATTCCTTTGCTTCAGCCTGGGTTTCAGGATCGTAGTGGTGCACCCAAGACTCATCGCCGGTGACTAGGCGATCAAAGAAGTCTTCTTTGGCCTCCAGCATCGCAAGAAGCTCATTTGAACACGCCCTGCGGTCAGCGCGCATGACGGTCGTCAGCAATTTGGGCACCCACCTACTGCAGACCTTACTCATACCAAGCCTTTCGTGGATAATGGTCAAAACCGATCCCGATGAAATGCCCAAATCTTCGGCTATCTGCCGAACAGTTATTCTGCGATCTGCCCTGATCCGCATTTTCACAGCGTCAACGTTCTCGTCGGTGATGGCTAGAGATGGACGGCCTTCTCGTGGATCATCGTCAAGAGACTGCCGGCCCCGCTTGAAGTCCGCTGCCCACTTCTTGATAGTGCTGTGCGAAGGTGATGAGTCACCATACACATTGGTTAGCTCATCAACAATCTCAGTCGGGGACTTCCCCTTCTTTACCAAAAATTTAATGACCGCCCTGTATTCAACTTTCTCCATTACTTTTTGATCGCCCGACCTGCAACCAAACAAGAGGACCGGTGTCATGCATTAGTCATTGCACAGGAACGAAAACAGCACAGCTTACTCACAAAACATGTCTTTACCTCGAGGCAACAGGAGAACTCCGTACGACGTGTGGAAGTAGGGTAGGCCGAGAACTTTTTGAACGACCTAGTAAAAGTAACATAAAACCGTCGTGAATTTCTCTTGGAAAGCTGGTGTTTCAGAAAGTCTGTGACAAACGACACAGTAAAAAAGTAATAACCACTTGGTTTCGAGTCAGAAGCCACTTTCCGTGTCATCCACAGGGTGCGCAGACACCTTTTGTAGTGGCGAATGAACACATAGTCAAGACAAAGTATATTTCTCTCAGTTTGAAATGCTACAACGATCGTAAAAGAATGCGAAGAAGTGTGCATAAATATTCGGTTGATGGAAATATGATCGTACATTTTCTTCGCAAATCTCGAACAGAACAGAAAGAAATTCGGTCCACTGGAGTGTGTCGAGATTTCATTTGTATGTGACCCAGGTTATGTAAGTAAGCATTGTCCAATTCAAATAATCAAGCATGGGGAATTTGAGCTGTATCTACGTTTACTTATGACCAATATCACCAGCAGATATTTTCAATAGAAAAACACAACTCTGACGAATAGTATTTGTCTATTTCACACCACCTGCGGTTGCTGACATGTTTCTGACCTGTCACTCAAGCAGATACTGACCTGTGTCTTCAGCAGATACTGACCTGTATCTGACCTGTACCTACAACAGTTACTGATCTTTATCTCCAGCAGGTACTAAACTATATCTACATCAGATACTTACCTGTATCTCCAACAGATGCTGACCTGTATCTGACCAGTACCGCCATCAAATACTGACCTGTATCTGACCTGTACCTGCAGCCAATACTGACTAGTATCTGATCCATATCTGCATCCGATACTGACCTGTATCTCCAGCAGATACTGACCTGCATCTGACATGTACCTGCAGCCAATACTGACCAGTATCTGATCCATATCTGCAGAAGATACTGACCTGTATCTCCAGCAGATGTCTGTGTATCAGCAGCGGCAGCGCGGCAGCCATGGACACCACCCAGATACCGGCGATGATGATACCGACTCGACGGCCGGTCTGGGAGCGACGAGCCCGCAGTGGGAACATGACCGCCACGAATCGGTCGCAGGCGATAGCGGTCAGCGTCAGCACCGAGGCTGTCAGCGCGGTCACTGTGGGTCAGAGAGGGGTCAGAGGGGTTAGAATGGGGTCACAGGGGGGTCAGAGAGGGGTCAGAGATCAGACTGGGGTCACGGTGGGCTAGAGAGGTCCGACTGGGGGGCAGAGAGGGGTCAGAGAAGTCAGATTAGGGTCGGAAAAGGGGTCAGAGATGCCAGATTTCGACCACTGGGGGATCACAGAAATCAGACTTGAGTCACAGATGAGGCTATATATGGCCAGAAAAGTTACAGCAAAGGTGACACGAGGTCATGTTGGAGTCGTAAATGGGGCCACATAGCGTCAGACTAGAGACACACCAGATGCCATGCGAGAAGAAATTACAGGAAAAATGTCACACGAGGTCGGAGAGGCCTGTCACTGCCACTTCAAGTAACAAGTCACGCAAAGTTCAGAATGACGATACAGCAGATGTTGCAAATGTTGAACGATGCATTTTGCGAGTAAAATGAAAAAAGAAACATCGTTTTGAATTAGACCAGTAGCAGAAGTGAATAAGCAAAGGTTTGCATTTTTACGTGGATTATGTGTTAGTTTTCCACAAACTTTGAAAAGTTGACATTTCAAACCATGTGGCATATCTACAACTCGCTTCAAAACTCTTTGCCAGTTCTGGCATTCAATGTTGGTATATCTAGAAGCCATCTTGCATGATAACATATCCATGATAAAGACACCAGTGAGCCTGATTGTGCTGTCCCCGGTCAAGAAGTGGCACGGTATGAGGTCAGACTCAGGTCAGAGGCCTCCGGACGCTCCCTTACAGCTTCCAGCGACAAATGCCGACATCTCACAGAGCTAAGAGAAACACTACCTCCTGTGAACCCGCTCAGACCGGAGGATAGAGCCGCGGAAACGACCAGCACACAAGCCACGCCTGGAAAGCGGAGAGGGTCGGGATCTTAGAGATGGTGGCTCGACGCGCTGAAACTTACAGATGATTGCAATCATCTATCGTGAAAGCCTGGAAATGAGTTGTATTGAGTCTTCGAGTTCTGTAGCTACAAAGACCGACGAACCTTTGCATTTGACCGGCAGGACATACCGACCGTGACAAGTCATAAACATCTCGGACTGACACTCTCGACGGACCTCCACTTTCGCGCACACACATTGCACTTATTGACTTCTGCGACTGGTCGAATTCAAAACGATGCTTCTTTTTTCATAACGTCATTCGGACAATTAACATTCTCCTAGGACCGATATATCCCGTGGCTAAGCTTCTTCCTAGACCAGTCTTGAACAACATTTACTCTACCTATATAACACCTCATTTCGACTATTGTGATATTGTTTACGGCGGACATTTGACATCAACTGACGCCATCCGACTCCAGACGCTTCAGAACCGCTGTGCCAGACTTGTAACAGGGACGCTTTATCGAACACCAACTACCGCATTACTAACCGAACTAGGATGGGAACGACTTGAGACAAGACGATTAATTCATAAGCTTCTATTCTTTCACAGACTTTACTTCAATCATCCTCCTTTCCCTTCATACATTAGCCCGCGCCCGGCTGGGGGTCCTGGATTTCCACTCCCTGCTGGGGGGGGGGGGGTGTCTGAACACCCCCCCTTCTAACTCGGCTCCTGGGCCACGTAGCGATACGCGGAAGGCGGCGTTCGAAAGAGCGTCAAAAATAATGAGGAAATCACTTCGGTCAATTTTTTGGTCAGGTCAAAGGTCAGGTCACCAGAGGTCATTGAAGGCAAAATTTCGCCGATTTCCAGGTCGAATGTCGACAATTTCCAAGAAGCCAACGCATAACTCGGGAACCAATAGAGCTACAGCGCCGCGGAAAAGCGCATTCGATAGCCCTATTAACGCCCTTTCTGAGTAATTTTCTCAGATTTGACCTAACGTCAACGGTTTTGCCTGCAGGGGGCAAAAACTGCAAAAATAGCCGATTTTTTCGGAAACAGTTTTTCTACAATAACTTTTGACCCAAGCCTTGTACGAGCTTACTTTTACCGGCATCGTGTTCCTCTCGTCAAGACGCATCGAATGAACTATACTATGACCTTGAAAGGTCAACTTGAAAATTTGACCTCAGGTCAAGGTCATGACCTGACCGGAAAGGGTCATGTTGCATATCAGTCGATCCGTATCGTCGAGCTGAACACATCTAAGGCGTTTTCATCGCTCTAGCATGCCTCTATCAAAAGTTATTTGCGAAAAACTGTTAGATACCATTCGTGACCTAAGATGACCTCAGGGCATAAACAGGGGTCACGGACACCATTTTCATGTTCAGTGTGTCCAAACCACTTGTAATTCAGTGTTTGGGAGTGTTTATAATGTCTTTAGTCCAAAAGAGGCGCATTTCAATTTTCTCCCATTGACTTATAATGGGGAGGTCGCAAAATTCACCTGACCTTAGGTCATCGATATCAAAATTCTGAGATATACATTTTGTACATGCTATTGCTCTTAGCAATCGCTGAAAGTTTCAAAGCGATCGGTCACTCGGTGTAGCTATGACAGACATTGAAACTTTTTATGAGGTGAGGTCACTTCAAGTGACCTGGTGACCTGACCTTGAATGACCTTGGTCTGAAATTTTCACAACATGTGTAGAATTGATGTATGATAAGGTGTACCAAAAACGGCGGCGCGGAGCGCCGCCGTTTTTTAGATATTCGCGAAAAACCACAAGGGGGGTGTTCAAACACCCCCCCCGCAGGGCGCGGGTTAAAGACATATTGACAGAAACCAGACAAGACGCCACGGGACTTAGACTTCGTAATGCTCAATCTCTTACATTCCCCCCTACCAATCTCACTTCTTTCTATAGAGCCTTTTTTCCTTCGACAATAAGACTCTGGAATACTCTCCCAGACACATTGCGTAACACCTCATCCCGCTCCGCTTTTGCTTGTCAAGTCTGGCAGCGATTTGGGGCACCAGAGCCACCCACTTTCTTTTCTTTCGGCAACAAAACGCGTAACACACTACACACACGATTGAGAGTGGGCATGACGACTCTCAAGGCACACCTGTTCAGTATACAACACCCCAACACACCCAGCCCAGTATGTGCTTGCGGTTATCACGATGAGAACACAACTCACTTCATACTCTGGTGCCCGCTTTACCATACACAAAGAGTAAAACTTATAAATGCAGTTCGAATCATCACTCCAAATTTTGACAATTTCTCAGCAAAATTAAAACTTGATACCCTTCTCTTTGCAAAAGACTTAAACAAGCATCAAGGCACACAAATCACCCATCACCTTCAGACATTTATTGTAGAGACAAATCGGTTTACCAATACAACATAACTGTTTAGTTAGTGCATTTAAGTACCATTGATATTAATGCAACACACTGCTTACATAACACTACATTACATAACAAAACACAAAACATGACACTATGACGCAAGCTGGCCCGATTGGAGTCGTCCGGCGCCTGGGGCCGGGTACCGTCTGCTTTTTTGGCTCGGCGGGTTTCGGGCGGGGTCGACGCTTTCTGATACTTTGGTTTGGTCATGTGTTCTTTGTTTAACTTAATTGGAGAGGCGCCTTTGATTTAAGCTTTTTGCTTTTGCGCCAATCCTCTACTGTTTTGTTCGTTGTTCTTGTTTACATATGATAAAATACAATGAACTGAACTGAACTGAACCTGCGCGATAGCTAATGGCACCAAGGCAGTTTAATGCTCGCAGATTAGTAGTTGCTATGAGGGCTCGAGCCAAAAGCTATAATTTTTGACACAAGGTTGGTTGGAAAGAAGAAAATGTTAGAAATGTGTTTTCTAACGACAAAAATAGCCTGTTCTGTTTAGTCCTCACAGCTGCAATATAAAACACTTGAAGCATTTTGCATGTGTAGCAAAAAATTAGTTTAATCTTACTTTATTTATCTTCTACATTTATATTTGAAGGAAATAACAGCAACTAAACTCAACTTTCATGTTTCCAGGCTCCAGCGCTAATATCCAAAACTCCAGCGCAAATTCAAGAACACTTTTTTGGTTCTGATGGCGCAATGCCGAAAGTCTCTCGAAAAGCTGCTTTCTTTGGAATCCGGAATTTACTTTTCGGGAGTATGAGAGCTAGGTTAATTGTCTTACTATCTGTTTTGGCTCTGCTCAGTTTTCTTATTTCATCATTCATTTTAGAATATGCAACTACCTAAGTAAGCTACATAATCCATGCTCCATGCCTGGGCCCTCGTCTTGTCATATCCATTTCTTAGAAAAGGAAGGTAATAACAGTGAAGAGTGACATTGCACTCCACTGATACCAGCTACTTCAATAGATCAAAGATCCGCCAGCCATGCAACAGACAACTGATTGCATACTGCATATCCTTTACCATCCTTCCAAGTTCCATCCCTGCAAGTTCGATCGAACAGGCCATGTGATTTCGACACATCAAGCCACCTATGGCGAGGAAAATCAAAATTGATGGATATCAGACTGGCCTAAAGATGCTCGATCTGTCTAGGAGGAGACTGAGACAGAACAGACGTCTGTTTTCTATTCTAGACACGAACGGACCACGAGTATAGCGAGTGGCTCAGTCAGGAATCAGCACAACAGGGTACTTCCCAGCAACTGTCACGAGCTCAGTGCCCCGCGGGACACTCATGAGACCCATTTCGTGAAGCCTGCCAGAATGAGACTTTCTGTAAGCAGTGGCATAATGCTAGCTTCTTCGCGTCGGACCAGTCCACCCGGGCTTCTAAATGTGATGGCTGTGCCTGTAGCGAAGCTGTGTACTAGCTAGGGGATGAGGTCAGTGACTCCATGCTGTCGCTGCTTAAAGGGACCCTCCCACCTTCAAAAAAGTTAATGAATTGGCATGAAAGTGATGTCTCTCGGTTCAGAAAGAGCAAAAACGAATATCTACCAAATTTCATCGAAAAATATTCACCGGTTTTCAAGATATTAGACTTTTACTTTTGTTTACTTTTTGGGATCTCCGCTGTTCCTAGCGACTTTATTTGAAAGTGCGGCATTTGTTGCGCGCAAAGCA